GTTAGATTCTTACTGAGAGCAAAAGGAGAGTTAAGGAGTGAATCTCCTCCAATCCAAATGAAGAACTAATGAAAGAACTAAAGAAAAAAGAATGTTGTGGGCTACAACAAGGGACAAAATGTGTCACAGAAAGCATGGAAGGTCAAAATTCAGGCCAATTGGTCACCCTGGGAGTAAAAGTGAAGGGGTACCGGAAGAGGGAGGCTACCAGAATGGGAAGAAGTGCTGAAGGATAGGACCTCTCCCTACTCTGTTCCTGTGACCTCATTCGTTCCCTCAGCCCTCCTTCCCAATCCCTCTCTAGCTGCTCTGCTCCTTCAGTTCTGACCCCATTTCCTCAGGATTTTGTTCCCTGAAGAGCTGGGCCTGACATTTCAGACAGAGGCTGAGTAAAGGAGGTAGGTCAGAAAGAGACACTGTGTCTGCGTCATCTTAATTTCTGTTTGATTATTTTGGTACTAGGGGGCTAAAGACGTAAGCATGCAGAAATTTACCAGGAAGTTCAGAAAGAGTCCCTCAGGGACCAAGGAATATCAAGACTTCTCAAGTCTCCTCTGAGCAACTGCTTCTGGTTGTCATATTTCAAAGGGTAAAAAATTGGAGCTTTCATTCTTGTGGGTTATTGTGGCATATATGATGCACAGGGCAGATTCAAGGTGCCCCAGTGTAAGGGCTAGAGAGCCTTCAGAACTGGAAACTTCTCTCAGCTATGACAACCCTGGCCTTTCTGGATTCAGTGGCCAGAAGGAGAAGAAGGCCTTCCTGCTGACTGAACTGCCTCAATTCCCTGAGACTTTTGTCCTTGTTAGTCCCTCAGGGTCCTGCAATTTAAATTTTTTTTTTTTTAATTTGTAGACGGACACAATCTTTGTATTATTTATTTATTTTTGTATGTGGTGCTGAGGATCAAACCCAGTGCCTCACGCATGTGAGGTGAGCGGGTCAGCCATTGAGTTACAGCCCCAGCCCGGGTCCTGCAATTTTTAAGGCACCAAGCCTTATAGGGACTGCTGGGGGAGTGGCTGTACTTCTGACTCACACTTATAGGGAAAATCATTCCTTGAGTTCCTCATTTATTTGTGATGGTTATAGACATCCCAGGAGCAGTCTGGGACCAAGGGTCTAGCACATTTGCTATTGGAACCCCATAAATCAAATAAGGGTTCTGTAGATAAAAAAACATTGATATATTTGGTGTATGAAATCCTCCACTTTTGATGTTTTTGAGGGCCTTCCTCTGACCCAAAGTCTCTGAAAGCAAAAACCAGGTCACGTCGCTTAATTGGATAGCATCTAGCCCAGTTCCACTTCCACACAAGCTTCTATACCTACCGGCTGTTAACTTCAAGTTGAGGAGCATGTCTGGAACATTATTGTCATTCCTTAGTGCTTAGCTCAGTGTCTGGCACATAGTGGTCATTTCAGTAAATTTGTCATAAGGGAATTAAAAAATGACAATCATGTTGATAAGAATGATAGTGGGGATGGTAAAAAAGATTTTCTTGAAAGCAAGAAGATGCTTTATAACGTATGACATCTCCCCTCAGCCGCACGCAGTTTCCTGAAAGTCATGGCTATGCCTTCTTTCATTAAAGGAGAATGGAAGCTGATCTTTAGATGAGGTCCTTATCCTTCTCCTTCCATCATGCCCACACCAGAAGCTATCAGGAATAAAGAAGGGAACAAGAGACATCTGGTTAGGCATGATACCTAGTGAAGAGATACAGAGTTCTCTGCATGCCTGCCTTCAACTGTTGCAGCTAGGGTCAACTTCAATGTCTTTTGCCAACAACTTATCAGGAAAGACCATGACTTTCTGGACTCAGAAGATTCAAATTTTTAGCTATGCCACCACCAATGGCTCTTGTCCACTGTCCAGGTCCTCAAATCCTGGTACAGAGGCTTTGGAATAAAGTTTAACCCCTATATCCTCAGGACCAACCATATTTCTTCTCTCTCCAAAGCAAGAATACATCTATCTGTACAATAACGTGCCATTTTATCTGTAGAACAAGTCTGTGAGATTGATGGAGAAGGAATGATTCTGGCACAGAGAAAGGAAACCACCTGCCCAAAATATTTCAAGATTCCTCATCCCAGGGCTTTCCCCTCTGACACACATCATAAGGCTCATCCAATAAAAAAAAGCACTCTTCATCTCCTAAGATCATCTAAAATTCTACAAGTTGAGAGATCCTAAAATGGTAAAAGCTGTCAAGCAAGAACAGATTTCAATAGACCAACAAGTTCACCCTTTCGTTTTCAGGCAGTTCTAATGTCTATAAATTGAGTGTTTACTGGGAAAGAACTTGAATCTGGAGTAAAAAGACCTAGACAGTAAGTCCTAAATCTACCACTAAGTGGACAATCTTGGGTAAGTCATCTAGCCTCTGTGATTTAATCTATAGAATGAAGACAAGAATATTTATAATATTTACATTTTTCTACTTTACACATTTATTGTGAGGATTCAATGAGATGCTGTACACGAAAACTGTAAAGTACTAGGCAAATGTTAATTTTAACATAGACAGATTTGCATCTTTGGAGGCTGTTTATATAATATAAATAGTAATCCTTCTGTTTCATGAGAAAGTTTTACAAGCATAGAGATTATGAACTCAGTTCTAGAGTTAGGCTGCCTAGGTAGCCTTGGGCATGCTACTTTTCTCTGAAGTCTCAGTGAAGAGGAACTAATAACCCATCTCACAGGTGTGGCATTATTAAATTAGATAATGTATAGATGTTGGAGTCTGTAAACAAGTCAAAATAACACCTGGCATTTTGCCAGGGGAATGTTAGAGTTCGTAAACAAGTCTGGATGGTGCCTGGCAAAATGCCAGAGGGAGTGGTTTGAGAAGTAACAAAACTGAGCCATTAAGTGTGGAGATTCCTGATTGGCTGACTGATGTATCTAGTTTATGTTAATTAGATAAGCTGTGTGGAATATATAAATACTGCTCCTGTCCTGCAATAAATGGCTCCTACTCCTGCTGTATCAACGTACACAAGTTATTCGTCACCCCCTGATTATTCTGCAGCAGCTGGACTGCGGCATATAGACAGTCCTTAAGATGTACCTAGTACAGAGAAAGGAATTCAGTGAATCTTAGTTACTATCATTACTGATTTTATTAATGAAGATGTGAGGCAGGGTGGTTCAATAAGACCAGTGATACTAGAGATTTGAGATAGGAATCAAAAGGACCTGTTTCCCTACTTACACTACAGTAAGATTTTTTTTTCTCCTCCAGATCATCATGAGGATTTTTTTTAAAGTGTATAAAAACTTTGAACTAAATTATTGAGAAACAATATGAATGCAGGCTATTTTAAAAACTGAGCTAAGTTTATGAAGACAGAGTTCTTGTAAGTTCAGCAGTTTTTGTACATAAAATCTTTGATAAGTCTGTCCTCTTTATAGAAGTACAGAATTTCTTCAGTCACTGAAAAATGAATTTGTATGTCAGATCTTGAAGCAAATCCTTCAAACCCATGAGATTACTGACTTTGTAAAGAAAGCCTTTCAATAGAATGTTTTATTGCTTGATTTGTTCTGTGTATGTAGGCTGATTTTAATATTCAACCAACTCTTGAATTTCCACTTTGAGTATTATATGCTTTCAGTATTTAATCCCAAAATGACCTCTTGTTTCTCACAGCATGCTACCAGTTTACCTCCTTTTCTCTGATTAGTTCATGTGGCTTCAGGGAATACCTTCCTTTTAACATTAAACTAGGCAAAAACAGAAATAGAAAGATAAATCTGAAGCAAGATCAAAAATAGAATTCATAGCTAAATATAAATCTAGAGGGAATTATCCAATTATTTGAATGGTCCCTTATCACAGACAACCCAGGATTGACTGACTTTTGCTTCTTTCATATATAGAACAAAATGGTTAACAAATACCAAGAGTAATATATGTATATATGTGTGTGTGTATTATTTTTTCTTTTTAAGAGTAATGATTTTTAATAGTATTATCTTAAATGCTGTTTTCTTTACCAAATACCTTCGCATATATATTTATAGCATGTGCTTTTCATAACCGCATGCATTGTCTTTGGAGACCATCCAATCTCATTTTGACTTGTAGGTCAGAGAGCATTGAGCTGGGAAAGTGGAGTTATTGAGCAAACTTAAGCACGTTTCTCAGTCACTTTGCTCCTTCCACTCTGCTGAGGTAGACTTGGAATACGACAGAAGGGAAATTCCCATCTCCCTTTTAGAGTCCCATTTTAATTTGCAGGCTAACAGCTGGTTTTTTTTTTTTTTTTTTTTTTTTTTTTTTTTTTTTTAAGATTGGATAAACCCCAAGTAGGAACTTGGAAACATGGAAAAAGACAAATGATGTGTTTGTCACTCGAGGCAAGGTAGCTATTAAGTGCACGAATTTAATGCAAATCGCAGGCAAACGGTATGCAAACTTTGCATTAATTTATAGAGTCTTAGTGTGGACCTTGCAAGCTGCACTGAACTTCTATGAGGTTTCTAGATTAAACTAAATGTAATACCTTTTCAAATCATTGTTTTCTCTGTGTTACGGGGAGTCGACTGCTTAAAAGTTTGATACTCTGTCCCCCACAAAGATTTCACTAGTGCTTCATTCCACCCTACACCCGGCCCCGCCCCCAGTACCATCTGACGTCACGTGACACTGTATTTGCATACTACCTGGGACTGGGTGTGACGCTCCCCCTTTCTGAGCCTTCTCATTGGTGGCATTGGAGAACCAGCCTTCTTCCTGATGGACCAATCAGCGGCCTCTCGGACATAGGAAAGCAGGAGAGGGTGGGGTGAGGGTGGGGTCTTGGTTTGGATCGCTAGGCACAGCGACCAATCAGCCTTGTTAAAGGAAGAGGCCGTTGTGGATTGGTTGAGAGGGGAGGTCTGGGGTTCTGAACGCCAATTAGAGCTCCGAGCTCTGGGGGCCGGTCTCCGCCCCGTAGGGCAGATAAGCAGCGGCCGCGGGGGCTGGGGGGCTGTGCGGGGCTCGTTCTGGGGCCGAGGCAGGCGGGCGGCTGGGCGGGCGATGGCAGGGGCCGCAGCAGGCGGCAGAGGCGGAGGTGCCTGGGGACCCGGGCGCGGAGGGGCCGGGGGGCTCCGGCGGGGCTGCTCTCCACCAGTCCCCGCCGGCTCCCCCCGGGCCGGGCTGCAGCCGCTCAGGGCCACAGTCCCCTTCCAGCTGCAGCAGCCGCATCAGCGCCGGGACGGGGGTGGCCGCGCAGGTGAGCCGGGCCTGGAGCGGGTGCTGGGGAGGCGCCGTTGGGGGAGGGGGCGCACGGTGGGGGGAGGGGCACGGGGAGAAGTGTGAGGGGGAAGTGGAAGAGGAGTAGGGAAGAGAAACGGGAGCATACAAAGTCTGCGAGGGAGAAGGGAGAGAGAACGAGGAGCTGTGAACCTGGGGTGCAGCACCGGGACCTTGTGTGCGGGGAATCTGGCCCGGGAGGGGAGGGGAGGGACCTGGCAGATAGAGGCTGGTTTGGGGGCGTAACCCAAAAGTGGGCAGAGGTGTCGTATGGGGGTGAGTGGAAGATGCAGGGAGTGGGAGTGAGGTGTGAGGAGTGACGAGTGATGGGGGCGCCCTGTGCGGAGGGCTGCGCTGGGAGCTAGGAGCCGGTGGGCGCTGGACGCCTGCACGGGGAGGGGGAGGGGCGTAGAGGAGAGCCCCGTGGAGCCATGTGTTACTTCTCCAGCTTGAGTTTGGCCCCAGCATCCCTCTCTACAGCTCTGAATCTTTTCTCCACGCATTCACGTGCGCTTCCCTTTTTGCCACCTCCGGGAGCTGATTTAGTTTCAATCCTTTGGAATAAGTTAGTTTAACGGCTTTTACTGCCCTGCAATCGCTCAGTTCTCCCTACATTCCTCTCAGTGTGGTCTGGAAGTTGTTCCCAGATCATTGACCTGCTTGATATGGCTGTCTCATTCCAGCCATCCTGTGTAGTGTGTGCATGTGTGTAGAACCCCGGGGAGTTTGCCCATCCCCCCAACCAGGTGGTTTTGTCCTGAGCATTGCCGGCCAACGTGGCAGTGAGTGGGGTGAGGGCTACATTCAAGTACGCTGTGGCAAATACCCCACTTTCTGAACTTCACCGAAACAGTTTCTTAATAGCAGCTTGATGTGGGTGTGGGGAAACTAGGGAGGAGCAAGTTTAACTTTGCTTTCACACTCAAAGCTGTGACGGGACCCACAAATGCAGGCACTTAGGAACGGAAAAGGAACCTACTTGCATGAGGAGGTTGGCAATAAGTTGAAAGTGAGGCTTGCATTTGATTCACACCAGATGTGAAAAGATCATTCATTGCACACTTCCAAAGCCTGAGTCTGTACCAAATGTATGAAAGTCATGGTTCCTGCCATCTTAACAGTTAATGACATGCTCTAAACCAGAATCTCTTGAGCTTTTGGTGATTACAAAGCTTAGTTGCTGCACATTCCCAACCAAAAAGTATAGCTGTTACCGTGCCTTACTTGGTAGAAAGGGAGATTAATCAAGTCTGTGAGGTAGAAAACCCCCAAATCTATCTGGACCTCACTGTGTTAGCATCACATCTCAGAACATAGAAACTTGGTCAAATCTGGTAGCAAGATGGTGACCGAGTAATAAAAGTAATTGTAGAATCTGGTGGTGTAAAAGAAGGCAATGCCCAGACAAACTCATGCCCATCATGAGCTATAAAGCATACCACAAGACTACAAACCTGTTGGTTTTGTTTGGGCTTCCTTAAAACCAAGGGAAGTTAGTGGAACAACAAGCACCAGAACCTTAGTCACTTTTAATAGAAATCAACAGATAGCTTGCCTGTGCTGTAGAAATTGATTAGCAATTATATTTTGAGAGCAGTTATTTTGTGACTCCAATTAGAGCTAACATTAAAAGGAAAAACAGTGGTGGATGATCTGCAGAGGGGAAGAGTGTAGGTTTGGATGCCTAAATTCTTTACATGGCTTGCTCCTTTTGTAACATCAGGGGTCCTAAGGTACTGATAAAACACAGGAAGCTAGAACTCAGCATAGCTTGTCAGGTACCTTAGGGCAAATCAAAAGATCTCTTGTTATGTATTGGGCTGATGGTTTCTCCACCTGTTAATGTCCCAGAGGTACTAATAAGACATTTACCTAGTGGGTGGTGGGATTATCTGCAGTAAGGTAGGAGAAAGAAAAAAGTAGAGGGAAAGACTAGCCTGAGCCTGTGGACTTCTTTGTGGCCAGGCATTAGAGGAATGTACCTGGCACATCAGATCTTCTGCATGTTAACTTTAGCCTCCATGTTGAAGGTTGTTTTCATTCCATTGCTTTGGGAAGTGGCAGGGGTGGTTCCCTCTAGGCCAGTAAGAGATACATGATGGAGGAAAATCCCTTGCTATCCAAACTCTTTAAAGAGAATGGTGTTGAGAATCAGAATGCCTGTGGGTTTTGAGTCCAGGTTTTGCCATTTATTTACTAGCTGTGGCTAGAGAAAGTTGGTTAATTTCTGTGCCTCAGTTTCCTCATCTGTGGGTAATAATATCTACATCCTAAGAATCAAATGAGTTCATAAAGTACTTAGAACAGTGACTGACACACAGAAGGTTCTATTAAGAAATGTTTGCTGCTGCTTATTCCCTTGGCAGAGCCAAGGTGAGAGCACTGTTGGCCAGAGCCCATTGCCTTTTCAGGCTTCAAAGAGCAAACCTAGGTTGGTCTGAAACCAGTACTGCAGGTTTCAGAATTTCAGGGCTCCTTGTGTGTTTTTATTCCCTCATCTTTTAAAATGAGCTTTCTAAACAGGGCTTCGAAACCCAACTGTTTAAAAAGGCATATGAGCTGGGACTAGGTTTCAGGAACAATCACATGTCGTCACTGTTTCTGTTTCTCATCCCAAAATGATGTAACATTCAGGCTGTGCAGTTATCTCCACACTGCACACCCTACTGTGTTCTTGACAAGATATATTAGATCTTGTAAAAAGGGTTGTGGCGTGAAGAGTGGAATTTACCTTCTGCAACCATTTATCCACAAGAGACATCTTCATAAAGCGAGGAATGACTTCATTTTTATGAGTCTGGGCTATGAGAGAGGAAGGCTAAGAAAGTGAAAAGAAAAATGAGGGTCAAACCTAAGAAACCACTAGTGGGTAACAGAAACCCAAAATAAATTTCTTACTGTACTTGCCCCTTAAATTAAATTCTCTTTTGTGTCTTAGGTCAGTTAGAGGCTGCTGACTTTTATGTTCTTCCAGGACCACTGATGATCAGGGCTGAGAGGTGGATTTTTCTGGGTTTTAGTCTTACCTATTCTATTTGGTATTTCTGTCTCTATAGCCCTAGAATGAAGATAATGGGTTTCTGTTTTGTTTTTGTAGTCCTGGGGATGGAAACAAGAGCCTAGGTGCATGCTAGGCAAGCACTGTACCCCTGAGCTACAGCTGCAACCCCATGAAGATAATGTTTAATCAAACTTTGCTAATTATTTCTCTTCTGGGGCTAACTGGCTGAAGCCAAATGTTGCCTTGGAACCTTCTCTATCCACCAGAACCTTCTTAAAACCAGTAGCTTGTTACAGCCTATGGGCCACATGCTACATATCTCTGCCTGTTTTTGTAAATAAAGTTTTATTGGAACACAACCACACTCTTCCTTTAGGTACAATCTGTGGCTGTTTTCATGTTGTCAGTGGCAGCATTGAGTAGTTGTGATAGAAACTACCCACAAAGCCTAAAATACTCACTGTGTGACAGTTTACAGGTTTGCCTACCCTTGTCCTAAGTAATATACCTGACCATTATTCTTACATAAAGAGCAGTTTAAATGTGTGTAATATATACCTCCTCAGAAAACCCTGAGGTTAAAGAAAGTAACTAATAAGCCTATATCCCTGTTAGTATTTTAGAGGAAAGGGGACCATCCCCCCACATCCCACTGGTGCTGGGGATCCAACCCAGGGCCTGGCATGTGCTAGGCAAGCACTCTACCACTGAGCTACATCCCCATCCTGGGAAAGGGGACCATCTGCTTCCAGTCAGTTCTCAGTCTTTGTGGAAGATCAGCACATATGAATCCAGACTGCCCACCCCCACTGCTGTCAGGTGACATGTGTTCAGTAGACATAGCTAATTTGAATTTACATAAAAGCTTAACTGTTAGGCAAATTTGTTCCCCCTCCTCCCTATGTCCCCCTCTTCTCAATCTAACAACTCAAATTGCAGTGAACACATTTTAAAATCAGATGGAAATTACTTTAGGCATATCTCCTGTTTTGAATTTTTCTCATTACCTTTCAGTTTTCTGAACAGATCATTGAGAGCTGGCAGTAGTCATGGTTGTCCTAAAATACTGGCTTCCGTACAGGGACATAGGAAGGGTAGTTTTTGTCAAATGTTTATTATGGCTGCTTCATGAATATAAGGCAGCATTGTTATTAGCAATGCTATTGGCAATTATTAAGCCCTTTTTCTTGCAGTGCTTTGAAAGGTTAGTCCTTTGTGGGAATGGGTGTTTAGCTAGGTATGGAGCCGTATCAAAGAGGTTGCAAATTAGAGATCTGGAGAGAAAGCCCTCATCAAACTGTGGTCTTTCTAGCCTCTGGTGTCAGAAACAGTCTGGAGATTATAATAGAATTGGACCTTTCTACACTAAGGAGCCATCTTGCTATAATGAGGCTTAGGGGTACAGTTAAAAGTCCTTTAGGAATACAATTGTCCTACAACCTGTGATTGAGGCAGCTTCTATTGGGGCATCATTAAAACCCCAGGCTCTTCCTAGCCTGACACTGCTAACTGCTGCTTTTGATAGCTTTGCCAGAGCCAGGAACATGGTCAGCAAAATGCACTGCTAAAGCATCTGACTCTTAAATGTTATCTTAAATTTGTTGTCTAACTGTCTCTTTGGTACCTAAAGGAGTGTGGGTCTACTGTTTTGAATATCATGGGATTAGATGGTATGGGAAGTTCTCCACTCACATAATGTAGAACTAAAAGATCTTAAACTCTTTGAGGTCAGTTGAAGAGGGGTGAAAACCTCAGTGGGGTATAGTGGTAAAATGACATCCAGATATGGGTCTCTAGGAAATTCGAGGCAGGATTGCAAACTTTCATGGTGATGGGGCTAATGGGAATGTTGCCAAAGTGGTTGGTGGGCTTCAGTGGCCAAGAGAACACTGCCTGCATTCTCTGCTAAATTCAGTTTAAAATGAATGGCACGATGGGCTCCATGGCCCCATTATTCCTTGACCTTGGTGGAACTGTTA